TCAAAATTTAGCACTTTTAAAAAATATAGATGTTTCTTGCTGTCCAGTACTATACAAATTTGTTATAAAAATTCTATATCTAAAGATGTTCTATAATATTAGTATATATAACAATAAAAGTTATAAAATAAACTCTGATAAATATATAATTTTACATGTAGCTGATTTTTTTTTCTACCCAATAATAATTTGAATAGATTTTGGTTTAGAGTTTTTTTATATCTATACTTGATTTTGAAAAGAATTAAGTTTTGAAAAGAATTAGATTTTTGAAATAAATTAAGTTTTTGAAGTAAATTAGATTCTTGAAGTAGATCAGATTTTTGAAATAGATCAGATTCTTGTAGTAGATCAGATTCTTGAAGTAAATTAGATTTTTGAAGTAGATCAGATTTTTGAAGTAGATCAGATTCTTAAAGTAGATCAGATTCTTGAAATAAATTAGATTTCTAAAAAAAATTAAATTTTTGAAATAAATTAGATCTTTGAAACAAATTAAATTTTTAATATAAATTAGACTCTTAAAATAAATTAGATTGTTTTTATAAGCAGTCCTGTCTTTATTCCTTTATTAAAAATATCAGAAAATTATTGCTAGCAGATATACAAAACTTTTTATACTATATTCTTATTTATAAAGACTTACTGATCTAAATACCCAAGTCGATACTACTTAGCAACAATTATACTTCACATTAGATCTTTAACTATTTGAGAATTTAAGCCCTCTATCATTAGCTAAAGCAGCTACATCACTTTATTAAGAAGCTGAATCAAAGAAATTATAGATAAAAAATGAAAAAAATTACAGAGATATAAGGGTAATAATATACAAACAAGAAAAAAAGAGAATAGATAAGTATCAAGAAAAAGAAAAAAAAAATATCTATATTAATGTTATATTTATAAGCTTATAAAAGACTTTTAAAAATTACATACTGCTAAATAAAATAGTCTCTACTCTAAATTTATCTAAATAGTATATAAAAACTTAAAACTAGTAAAAAAATACTTTTTTGACCAGAACAGTAGGAAGTTGATACTTGATCCAAGTCTTAGAATCTTGTTTAATCAGATTGTTGCATTTGACATATATGCTTTAATATGTTTGTTATCTTGTTATATTAATTTGGGAAATGGCTAAAGCTATGTATCTATATAATTTTAATATTTTAATTTGTTTAATTCAAATTAATATTAGAATTAGAGTTATATATAAAAAGAGAAATATAGGTAAAATTGCCTTTTTAATATTTTTAATTAGTATTTCAAAACAGGTTTAGACTGTTATTTTTTGTCTTTTTGTATTTTCTTTATTTTTGACTTTTTTAAGCTGATTCATATAAACAAAATTTTGCAATTCCAATTGGTTGATTTATACAAAATAGTCATGTAAGTACATGGCTTTAGATGACTCTAATTTAGAAAATAAACAAAACTAACTATTTTGGTATATATAATATCAATCTTTTGGAAAGAGTAACTGAAATAATCACTTTTTATAAAAATTTTTTTGAAAAAAATAGGGTCAATGAGAGTATGTGAAGTTCTTCTTGTAAATTTGCAGTTGTATAGTCTAGTCTATCAGTTTTTACTAGATATTTTTGTT